GAATAATGTGATTATTCGAGCCTGATTTCTCCCCGAAGAAGTTCAACAGTCCCTTGATGTTGCAAGATGTTTGACCTCTGGACGTGTCAGCAACACGTGAGCCTCCGTTTCTTCCTCTCCAATGCATGCCCTGCACAGGGGGCTATCAGTAACACCCATGGTAAACTAATATTTGTTAAAAGGGCCATGTCCTGTGATAGCACATGTTACTATCCTGATCTGCGGCTTGCTCACTCTCATTAGAACCTTGGTTAGACGAATGTTTATTTCAGGAAGGGCCTCCCCTAGCTTGTCTACAGTCTACTAATTTTTTTTAAAGCTAAGCGTGTAAATCATTGAAATATCTACGTACCAGTGAACGAACGTAGCCAAAGGGAATTGGTATTATAGGCTCCGGCCCTATGGTAGCCAGAGCCGATTCCCTTCTGGCCAGTTCATCTGCTGCATCGTTGCCTCTAGATCCACTGTGTCCCTTAATCCATTGCAGAGTCACATTGTTGTGCTTACATACCTCATTCAATCTTTGATGGCACTTATCAGTCCCGAGTTCGCCACATTACAACTCAGAGTTTGTAGTACCGCCATACTGTCGGTCAGTATTCTCATGAAGAAGTCTTTCACCTTCCTACCATCTATTGCTATGGTCGCTTAGACGATACCCATGCATTCAGCTTGGAAGACTATATTATGGGTACCCAGCAGTGTGCATAAGTGGATATTAAGGTCTTCAGAGAAAGCCCCAGACCCCACACCTTCATTTGTCTTAGAAGCACCCGGGAAAACTCTGAGCTCTTTCGGGCCGAATCCTTCCAGCTGATCAGTTTCCTTCAATTGTATCCTGTACGTTTTATGCAATACAAATTGTTTTGGGATCCTATCATACTTGGCTTGTAAGATAGGAATTTTTGAGTAAATTCCATCAATTATACCTGTATGGGGGACTCTACTCTTACTTAAAAGATTTAGGATCTTGAGTCTAATGGCAGCTAAAGTTGCTTCTAGTAGATAAAGCGGTGTTAGCTCCAGTATAGCCTCTAAAGCTGCTGTTGGTGTAGTTCTTATGCAGCCTGTGGCAGCCATACAAGCCAATCTCTGGTAACGCTGGAGCTTACGTATAGTGGTGGCTTCATTAGTTTTGGACCACCATACCAGAGAGCCGTATGTAATCATGGGCTGAATTACAATTTTGTACAGCCATAGTATAATTTTTGGCGTCAAACCCCATCGTTTGCCAATCACGTTTCTGCATTGCCAGAAAGTTAAACTAGCTTTGTTGATTTTGTTTTCTATGTGTTTATTCCAGATAATTTTACTGTCCAAGGTAAGTGCTGAAAAGACTTGGGAGATGATAGTTATTCAGCATTCGTTTTTGTATGGACATCACCAGAACCGTTTTGTTTCGATTAACGGTTAGGTCATATTCCCTGCACCATCTCTCCACAATACGGAGAGCCCCTTGGGTTAGGTCACACACAATGCTTGCTGTCTTTCCAGAGACCAGAATTGTCAGATCATCTGCATAACCGACTGTGTAGAAATGATGAGTTGCTGATGAGTTAATTAATGACCATATTCCACAGGAATGGTGAAAGTATCCCCACCCTGCTGGTATCCCGATCGACGCCTATAATACCGTACAAGCTGTAAAAAGAACTGTATATCTGTGTGTGTTTAGTGGGAAGATCTAGTTGTCCAGTTCATGTTGTCATATGATATGGTAACTGATCGAAGGGACGCTGTCACTCTCGGAGTTAGGTGTCATGGGAAATGATGGCTGATCAGAAGTACACCTTAGCTAGTGTTAGTTTTCACAAGGTAAAACGTAATCGTCCTTGCATTTGTGTGTGTAAATGTCCAAAGGTATGATGAACAGTGTGCCTATTCATGTCAGGATAGACGAGCGGACAAATTGGAGATTAAAAGTGTTTGTTACAGGAATTCAGGAAGATGTACACCCGAGGACGGTCGTATGTCAGGGTTGGCCGTGTAGGCGCATCTATAAAATGCCGGTTGAATCTAGTGACTAGTTGAAATTACTTACTTATACTTACTTTTGGGTATATCGAGAAACCCTCCCACTCGTTTGTGCAGTATAAAGTTCAGTGTAGGGGCAGAGCGCGAGAGATTCCGCTTGAGTCGTTTCACGAGTGAAGTCATTCTACGCGTACGACTATCTTAAGTCGTTGTTCTGTCCATTATGGTGATTCTTCTGGTGCAGACAGGGAGGATGGTGTTGCTGAGAGGCTGTGCTGTGTTACGTTGAGGTGGGTAAGGTTGCTGTTGGTTTGCATAATTTGGTGTCATCATGTAGTTGTGTCCTTCACATTGTACTGGTGTGTAATTGTGATGGGGACATACTGCGGTATGTTCAAACGTAATTACTCTATGCTGAATTGTATCTAAATATAAAAACAATTTTTTGTATCTAAATATAATTTCCAAAAAAAAAAAACAAGGAAAGCTCGGCCAGGTACTTTTATATTAATGCATAATATTAAGTTAGCATTATTGACTGCCTTGTTGGTCTAGCGGTTGTAGTAGTGCGACTCCTGATCATGAGGTCTCGGGTTCGTATCCCGGGTCAGGCCAGAAAAAAATCAATTATTGAGTTTTTCTGTCAAGAAATTCTCAGTAACTGCCCGGAGTCAGGAAGTTGGCGGTGTCTCAACCCCGTGTCTCGGAAAGCACTTATGGCCGTTGGAAGTTTCGGCGGGAACTTGGCCGTAGACGGTTTGTCGCTCCTATTTTGTCGCTTGAATAATGGTTCGAAATGGGTTTTGATTCGTAAATGTGATGCGATTTTGTGAATTAAGTGTCCGCGCGAACTATTAACCTTTCTATACCCTCGCCAAATATTGTGACACCTAAAACCCGCGCACGGTCTCATAGACCGAAAGTTCGGATCCAATTTCATGGTATTTTTTTTTCAAGAAAACGTATAATGAAATTAAGTTTTCCTAAATAATAATACTAATATATCATTTATTTACTGACTAACAGTCTTTTATTACAGTCTCTGGAAAATAATAAGTTTTCCATATGAGCTAATAAAAATGTAACAAAAATATTTTTTCTTCTTATAAAACTAAAACCAACTTTAATCTTAATTATAACAAGTAAATTAACAGTAAACTTACAACTATTCTTGGCCAGAAGTCACACTATAGCAGTCAGAGCATACCATAAGCGCGTGTTCCATACAAAAATATATTTTACATTTTACGCAGTTATAACGCGTCTTACGGTTCTTTTTTGACGTGAAAAATGCACAACGGCCTATTTTATTATTATTAGATGTTGCTGCAGACTCAGGACCATCTAATTTACATATTTCATTGAGCCGTTACTTTAGAGTTTTTGGCAATGACGTGTTGGCCGCCCGTCTCCTGAGATGCGCATTTATGAGGTCATAGGACAAAGCTTCCAGAAAAGTTCTACGGTTGACTTTCTTATAGGGATTGTTTTGCAGGTATAAAACATACGAATTTATACCCTTTACATTCATCAAACTGTAGAAAATTACCATGGGCCACTTGTTTGTGCCTCGTGCAACGTTATAGGTTTCGCACATTTTGTCCACAGTATCAACTCCACCTTTTGTCGCATTGTAGTCCATTATCAATTCAGGTTTACCGGTTTCGTCAATTTCAATCTTAATTTTAGCATCATCATGCATTCTAGACACAAGTAAAACATTCTTTTCCTTTTTGGGCACATAAGATACAAATGTACAATTGCCTCGGTGCCCAAATAAGCTGGATTTTTCTTCTCAGCCTCTTATCTCCGTAAACTGTTTGGGCAGTTCCCTTTTATTTTTGCGAAGTGTGCCGATCACGGTCAACTTCTGTGACTCAAGTTTATCTATCAAGGGAATACTGGTAAAGAAATTATCATATGTGATGTTACGGCCAGTATTATAGATACCTTCACTGAGTCGCAAAACCAAAGCCATTGAAGAGTTATCAAGTCTATATGCGCCTGCAGGCTGTTGTCCAACGTAAACTTCCATATTTTGGGTATAAAACATTTTGGCATCAGTCAGGGCGTAGATTTTTATACCGTATTTATTGGGCTTCGATGGAATATATTGCCTAAAGTTACAACGACCTGTAAATGCTTCTAGTTTTTCGTCAATTGTGACGAACTGAGACAAACTGTAATATTTTTTAAATCCAGCTATAATTTCTTCAAAAAGCTTTTTTTTATAGGATAGGGTGACAAACGAGCACACAGTCCACCTAATGGTAAGTGGTTGCTGTGGCCCATAGACAGCTGCTCTATCCTCCATTAAAAATCAAAATGCAGATGCGTTGTCACCCGTGAGGACTGAGATGGAATGCCTCGTTTCCAGTAAAAAGGGTCTCCGGTTCTCTACACTCACCATACGAAATACAGCAGCATTAAGCTACTATTTCACGCTGGTATTCTGTGAGAGCGTGGTCCTTCCGCGGTCGAGCCGACCCATTCGTGCTACAACTATACTACTAATATAACTGCAGCATGGCTCTACCACGTATATATATATATAGCTCTCTGATGGGTGCTAGTTTATCAACAGAAGCACGTACAATTCTTGTGTCTTTGTCGTCAAACCTAAGACACCGTAACAGTAGATAAAAACGGTTCCAGGACATAGTCAATCGAAATATCTCTGGTGTTGAATCGTCGAATAGATCTTCAGCATTCAGTCGACAATTTTTTCTAACGCCAGCAAAGAGTAAGAGACCTAAGAGTGCTTCAAGTTCTATCTCATTTGTTTCAGTACAGTCTCTTTCTCTTATGAATTTAGATGAAATTCATTTTATTTGTTCGTTAGTGTACTTTGCCATCCGACCAATAACATCCTCCGTGAAAAATAACCTCCATATCTCACCGGGTTCTTTCAAATACTGAGCTCCACCTTTAGCACCTGGAAGTTGAGTAACAATGTTCCTAGCACGTTTTCTTACTGGATTTGACGCAGGAGTTTTGTTCCACCTCGTGTGACGGTCTTTTTCGAGTTAATAATTTGTATATGTTTGATGATCTTCCGACTCCCCTTGAGAATTGCTCTCCTCTGCAGATTGACCCTCTTGCTCATGCTTAAAATTATCCTCTTGCTCGCTATTGTAGCTATCTTCTTGCATTTCAACAAAATCCTCTACCTCACTATCGTTTTCATCTTCATAGTTAGAATCAGAATTTTCTTCTTTCAACATCAATCTAATTTGATTTTCGTCCATCTTGACGCAAAATATAACCTAAAAATAATAAACAATGTTTATCCATAACATAATGATACAAAAACTATAAATAACAAGCGAATTTTATAAGAATAATAGAAGTTATTGCTTACACAAAAAATTTATCCTATACCCGCGTCGGTCCCATAGACCAATTGGCGCCAAAAAACGACCACACGTGCTGCTCACACGAACGCACTGTGAAAATTGGAATGAATGTAGCAACGAATCAGGCACCTAACAGAAAGTTCAAAATGTCAGCATTGATGTTTAAAGAACAGAAGAACGATCGCCGTAGAAAATAGTGTCGCAGAAATATGGACACCATAAGTGAGGCGCTGCAATCGCTAAGTTCCCTCAATAAAAGTTATTTTCAGTCTATTTTTCCGATCAGATGCTAAACCACTTGCACATCCACGCATAATAAAATATTTCTCCATTTTTTAATGTTTCTTTTTGTCAAAAATTACAAAATTACGGAGCATGAAAATTTTCTCACCAATGCCGCAGAGAAAATTATTTGTACATTATTCAACTAACTTCATCTACTTGTACTCATAAACAGCTAATTTCGCAGTCACTACTCACCGACGTCAGCGCCGCTATAAATTCTACAATTTTCAAGGACAGGCGGGCTATGCTTTAGTACGTAGTGATCGTTCTCCTGTTCTCTAACCTTCATGCTCCTGCGCCTGATCTCTCTCTGGTCGTGTCGGTTTAGCGTCCCATTGGATTATGAGAGTAAGGGAATAGAGAGTGCACCTGTGCTTGCGCATACACTTGGGCACTATAATCCTGTCCTGCGCCGTTGGCTAGCCTCTGATGTGGTAGGCCGCCGTGGCCGAAATTCGGTCTGGAAGACATTATTATCATTATTATTATATACTAATAAAATATTTTGATATCATTTTAATAATGTCAATTTCAAGAAAAATTGCTGTATCCATGACTGTAATAATAAATCACGTCAAAAACGTGGAATTGATGTGAAAGTGAAATTTTATAAATCCCCGGAGAGCATGAAAAATAGCAAAACGTAAACATTGGATAAAAGCAGTAAAAATTTTGTGTAAGTCCTATATTAATTAAAAATTTATTACAAAGTTAAAATAAATTTTCAAATTAAATTGAGGCAAGTAAAAAACTATTTGATATCTAAGTTATTATTATTATGATATTTATTTTATAATACAAAAATTAATCTTTCCTTTTTTTGGTTTTAGACAAAATCCAAAATACAAGAATTTGTAGTTCTTATTTTATTAATAACGAAAAATCGGAACATCCGTCTTATGTTTCCTCGATTTTTCCTGGAAGCGAAAATATAAAAAATGTATACAATCCTTGGAACGTTTCCAGCGAATTAAAAATAGTGAAATATTCTTTAATAATTAAAATTAAATTAATAAAAATGAACCTTTTTTCCGAGTATCAAATATTAAAAATCTCTTTTGAGTAAGGAAACTAATAATTTAATAACCACCTCCAATACAATGAATGCAGTAATGGAGCAATAGCATCTTTTTCACCATTCTAGTCACGTATAATACTGATATTGATAACTACTGGTATTGATAACTATTTGAAATCCGCCATTTTATTATTTTTTCCATATTTTAAAAATATTTAAAGTTGTTTATAATGAATGTTTTGATCCCACTATCTTCGGCAAAAGAACACCAGAGAACGCTTACTGCAGCAATAGTGCTGCCTATATGTTTCGCACACGGTCCCCATATGCTAGTAATTACTTTAGCTCTACTCTGAGTTCTGAGGCTCCGAAGCTTGGTTGCCATGTCACTTGCACTTCTAAACGTTAGATTTCTTTCTTTGTAATCGACGAATTAAGAAAGAATCCTATATAATAATTTGTTCAGTAACTTCTTCACAATATTTGATACGATTCATTGCAAGTTTTATAGAGATTTTGACGACCGTATTCACAGTATTTCCACTTATATTTTATATAATACAAACTGAAATATAATACAAACATCGTGCACCCATTATACGTATCAAAATCTACTTCAAATTTTTGTTTAAACGATAAAACAAGATGAGGAATCCGCCGGCGAATAAATTCCCGCCAAAAAACCTTACCTCCTCAGAATCGGAACATTGGTTCTTCCCCCCCTTTTTTTTTTTTTTTTTTTGTCCGCTTTTCTTTGCTGGGGGCTCTATTTTTATTTTTTTTGCTAACCAAATTGACATTTGTCAATGGTCGTTGTTGTTGTCACTTGTCATTGTTTTTTAAAAATTACACCATTAGTTCCTTTTTAATGAATCAGCAAAACATTAATACTTGTTCATTACATTTACATACATTTCATACAAATATATTATATAGAGTTTGTATTTACAATTAAATAAATAGGTCAAGGACATGAGTACAACTCGACCCAGAAGACTCTCCACTGTGGAAGATGACCAAGGTGAAATTCAAGATCCCAGTGTTTCTACTACGGCTAAATGGCATTGTAATATAAAACCAAGACGAAGCCGTATAGAAACTGAATATATTGGATTTACCTATCCTCAAAGTACCAATTTCCTTGACCTACTCCTCTAACATTTTTCCTTGTTTCAACATTGTTTCTGCAGAATATGAGCGTAACACCTATCTAAAGTATATTTATAACTTTACAGATACTTCCTATTCAAATACTACCGATAACACAAGTGATTTCTCTACATCTAAAGCTTTGGTTTTAGTAGCTATAATATTTGGTACATCACTGCTGACTTTAGGATTACTGTACAAACAATTCCCAGAATTGGAAGAGTAAGTGTTAAAAGTAAATTAAATATTAATTTGTGTGATTTAATAATTAATTACTTCTCATTTTAGGCACGAAAAACAGTATTTAAAATTACCATGGGATCTTGAAGAAGCAAAGCATTTAGGTCTAGTTTTGGACCGATATAAGGATAAATATTTCTATGAAGTTTTAATGGGTGTCTTTCTAGTCTATATATTGTATCCTTTTATTAATACTTTCATCACATACAAAAAATCTAATAGCTTGAAAATATATGTCTTTATGTATAATATAATTATGCCATAATTGCCTTAACAAAATATATTACAGTTTGCAAACATTTGCAATACCAGGATCTATTTTTTTAAGTATCCTTTCAGGATTCTTGTTTCCATTTTATTTAGCTTTACTATTAGTTTGCTGCTGTTCAGCAATTGGTGCTAGCTTGTGCTTTTTCCTGTCAAATCTTCTTGGTAAAAGAATAGTAAGGAAATTTTTCCCAGAAAGGGCAGCCCAATGGTCTATGGCATTGGCAAAACATAAAAATAATTTACTTAATTATATAATATTTTTGAGAGTCACTCCATTTTTACCAAACTGGTTTATTAATATGTCAGCACCCGTAATTGGAGTGCCTTTAGTACCATTTGCATTAGGAACTTTTATTGGTAAGTATAACTGTGTCAAAGATTTTTATTTCAACATGTTATATTCTTGATTTAAGACAAAAGGATTGAATTATTTCTTAAAATAAGGCACCAGATAAATAATTTGTCTTTCAGGTGTTGCTCCACCATCTTTTGTTGCTATACAGGCTGGACAAACTCTTCACACTCTGACGTCAACAAGTGATGCATGGTCTTGGACGTCAATAACTATCCTTACAGTTTTTGCTTTTGTTTCTCTTATACCAGTATTACTTCAACAAAAATTAAAAGACAAATTTGAATAAACAATTTTAGTGAATTTATTTAATATATTTAATTTAATTAACTTATATGTTAGATTTTTATTAAATAAATGTTTTGTACATTCCACATTAGTGTTTTAATTTTTGGATAACTTTATTAATTCTTTACATTAGAATTTTTCTTAACAATAAGAGCCCACATGTGCAACAAAAGTTGAATTCCCATTTGATTGTTGAACTACTGGTCTCCAATACCACCAATTATACCACACTGAAAAAATAAATATTGTTCATCACTTGAGTGTTTTAATTTTTGCATAGTTTTATTAAATCCTTACATTAAAAAATTATTATCAGTAATAAGAATCCACATGGGCAACAAAACTTGGGTTCTCATTTGATACCCAAAAAAATCGTGTGTCTTTTTTAAACTATGTACATCATTTTAATTAGATCAAAGTTACTATCACTAATCTACTTTTTTTGAATTAACTTTCAAAAGAAAAATCAATAAATGAATTTTTTTAACTACCTATAACATTAAAATTATTTTAATAATTTAGTACGTTATTCAATTTTATTATGTTATTAATGAAACAGGGTTAAAATAAAATGAAGCCATAATAGTACAACTTTAAGGAATGGAAGAAACATTGTATTGTATAAAGTGTTAAGGAAAACTTACATAAATAGGACTCTTTTAAATCAACCTCTATTGATTTGCACTGATGTTTGCATTCTTCTGCTGGATACAGAGTAACTGTCCTGGTTCCACTTAAGACCAATAAGAAAGCAAAGTTACATTCTGTATCTGGAATGTTAAAGTCACTGTGACTTGAATCAATAATGATGAATCTTTCAGTACTTTGCCCAAATTTTGGCACTACTTTTGCTCTTGGTATTAACTGCCGTAATATTCTTGCCAGGTTTAAATTATTTATTTTCCTGGAACAAAAAATATTGATATGGAATGGATCTATATAAGCAAACTGAAATGTCTTTTAAAGTATTACCCATGTCCCAGGATTAAAAGGGGAAACTTAAGAACACCAAGGGTATGGATCTTAGATAACAAAGTCAACTTAGAACACCCAAACTATTGTCCTGGTAGTAATGATTTATTTTGCGTTAAGTCATAAGATTTTAACATAATTTGTTGCTTTTTGCTTTATCTTCCTTCAAGGCTTCTCCATTCTCTTTTAGACTCGGCAAACCAATCAAAAACTTGCTTGTGAACAAGTAGAGTCATCAAAAATGAACTATTATTTAGGATTTTGGTTTTTACTTTTTTTTTTTTGTCGGGGAGTCGGGTAATAATAAAATAATTATTTAAGCGATATTATAATGTTTCATTTATGTGTAGTGTTCGTTTAGAAATATTGGTCATCAAAAGTCAAAATACAAGATGCTACCTAAGCACAATGTAGTCTATTAACTGAATAATTTTTATAGAGAAGCAAATCTTACTAATATTTATGATAAATATGGAAGTATGATTTTTGAATTTGTCCTTTGATCATACCAAATGAGGTGGGCTGTCTGGTAATATTGTATATGAGTAGTAATATAAAGTGCTTATTTGTACAAAATATTTATGCCCCGTGAAGCGGGCAGGGAGCTGGTAGGTCAAATTTTTTAAATTTACCAGACATATAAATTTCTATCTTCTATATCTTGCTGGTTTTGAAAAACATTAGATGGTGCTAAATGAAATTTGTTATTCATAACAATTTTGGATGATTCTTTGTCAAACAGTTCCTTATTCCGAAAATATAAATTCCTTAATTTTTTCGTATCTACTTGCTCTTGGTCAGTCTGAAATATAAAATAATTAATTTCATATATTAAGACCATTAATTGAAATCTGTAATAATAATATAACCATAAATACAAGTCAAACCATTTGCACAACAGTACCTCATAAATAAAAGGTGCAGCATGCTGTTGGTGAAGTGGCTGAGGATCATAAATTTGATGAACATTGGTGACAGTACTGCAAGGCCAGCAATCCATGTCTATTATAGTATAGAAGGGGTTTTGTATTAGGCATGGTTCCTGATACAATTCTAAAACAGATACAATCATCCCAATGCTTAAGTTTTTTTTTTATTTTAAACTTTACCCTTCAATTTAATCAAGATTTTATTTATTTCTTTTAATGTGAGCTTCACATAACTATATAAAATGCATGAGGAAAATATTTAGAACTGGATCTATTCTTCGAAGGCCATTCAATAATTAGTTTTTTTTTTAAATTAAAAAAGAATAACTAACAATGCTATAAACATTACTAACATTCCCCTTAACCACTCGGATAATCTTAAATTGCTTGTGTTACGAGTGGTTCATGCCAGTAGTCGAATGGCGGATTCGAACCCACAACCTTTGTGAGTTCGTGATCCGCACCCTGCCATTAGGCTACTGTCGCTGTCTGAAGTAGAATTTGAACCTGCAGTCCAGCAGTGCCACAACCAAATTTCACACACCACTGTGTGTAATTCACAAATAGTGAAAATAACCTATTTCTGCCACTAACCAGCAGAGCGATTATTGATGTTTTGCTTTGAAAACGGTGCCAATTTAATTACAGGCTGGCTCGAGCTGTCTGTCTGTGTAAATATGAATATATGCTTAGTTCAGTGCTGACAACACATATTATATGTCACCTCTGGTGTACAAGAGGTACAGTACCTGGTACGTTAAGTACTTACAATTAGGTGGACTGTTATTTTGGCAGTCTCTATTATTAAAAAAAAGTAAATATATATGACTAACCAGTTAATGCAGGAAAAAGTGATATAAAGGGAATAGATATTTGTCTAATCAGCCTAAGTCCAGGATAAATAAGTTCTTGAAGGTTACATAAAACATTACAGCATATATATTTAATACTATATATTGTAAGGATAAGAAGAAGAATTAACAGAAACTTTCGCTTTGTAACGAAACTTCTAGAGATGTTTGATAGCTTATTATCTCCTTCTTCTATCGTGTTTAAAGACTCAAAATACAGTTTTCTAAATTCATCTTCACTGAGACCTTTATCAGAACACTCTTTTTTGAGTTTTTTAATAGAGTGAGCGTAAGCTGTAATAGACTCCCTTTCATTCATTTTATTCATGAAAAATTAAAAAATAAAGTAAGCAGGAGATGAATAATATTACATTTGTATATTTATAATCTTAATTTTTTTATATATTCAACAAGGTTAAATAGTATAAACTAAATAATTATAAATATGTATGATTCTTCTTTAAGGCATAATAATTCAATTTGTAAATTAAACTGAAAAAGTTGAAACGCACGGTACATACAAAACATAAACACTTCACTTCGATCAACAATATTGTCATGTCAATGTCATTTTGACTTTTAACATCATAGACAGAAAACTATGGAGTGTAGAAGTAAGGAGTACAAACTGTGTATTAAAAAGTGGCCATAGAAAACCGTTAAATAAAGGTGGCGCCACTATAACTACGGGGTAAATTTGAAAGAATGCACCGAAAAATATTAGTGGGATAGACGACTTTTTCGAGGTTATATTTACTAAATAAAATTATTTTAGATATTAGAGCTACTGAGCAGTTTAGCAGCACACTTAAACCGTCGACAACTGCTAAGTTTATTTCATCCCAGTAGCTACTCCAGCGCTGTTGTGGAGAGTTTTGAACTGTTATTTACTGCTTACAGATGGCCACCTTTTCAACTATACTACTACTCCATACAGAGAATGATAAATTATTGTTACGATTTGCCAATTGAGGTTGAAGGTCTTAAACCATACCACTTAGTCTGAGTCAGTGGCGAAGCTAGAGCTCCAAACTAGGGCAAGCCCAAGATATAAATTGATATAAATATAGATTGTTGTTTTTAGCAGTTTTATAAAAATACACCAATCTTGATCCGTCTCCACGCTTCAGTTTCATATTCAGTGCTGTCAAGGACGTGTTTAACAAAGCACACAGAAGGCATACTACTGCTAGATAGTATGCCTTCTGTGTGCTTGATAGTATTACATATCAGCAATTGCATAGCTTCGGTGGCTTTGAATAAAGCTATTTGTGTTTGTTTAAGCGAAAGAAAAAAATATTTACATCCAAAACAACACAGACAAAAGTAAAACATGAACAAAGTACAAACAAACTATGTAAAAAATTAAAAAAAAAATATTTACATTCTAATTGTTAAGAGATAGGATAAGATAAGTGGAATCGTCTCGCTTTCTTAAGGAAAGATTTAATTACGTCCACGTAAAATGTTGGTGAACGTTTTAATTGTACCAATAACTGTTTTTTTAATTGCGATAATTGATAAGTCTGAAATACACTCTTGACCTTGTGTATTATCTCAACAAAGTTTAAAAATTTTTACCTTTTCCTCTCCGAATAGCACTTTAACACACTTCAATTTATCACAAGGAACACTATTATCCTCTATTTTCACTAAAAATCTTTAAAAAAGCATACAATTTGGACTCACAATATTAAATCGCTTAAGCTAAACACACAGAGTAAATAAACATTGAAATGTGAAATGAACTTGCAAACGTATTGCCCGCGCGCCTCCGCTTTTGACAAATTTATTCCTCAAGCCTGGCTTTAAATCTCTATACTAATTGCTATATATACAATCATAGTTATATTTTACTATAGAATATTTTGCCATAGGTTAGAAAGAGAGCGATCGTCTTCTCGAAAGCCCTGTAAAAAGCCCACCCGAGCGAGGGAGTCAACTAATCGCTTTATTAAAATAGTTTGAAACAGTTTACGAGTTATTTTATTACTTGATATTATTGATTGATTCAGTTCGATAAGGCAAGCCTGGCTTTTCGGCTTCTATGGAGGCTTCGCCACTGATGTGTATTCACTGAATCTTTCACGATATTCTTATGCGTCATATTGATGACATGTTAACCTAGTGAGTACCTTGAGTTTTGATTACACGGGGAAATGCTTTCGCATACTCGCCTCGCAAGGGCAAGGACGGGTTGTGTTGGACTCGCACTCACTAAGCCCCGTGGTATTCCACACACATATTCGTCCATTACACAAACCTACATTACTTATTGAATATTTGACTCTTCCAAAACGTAGATGTGCTCCAGCTCATCTACATTTTTTTCTACTGATTTTGAATAGTGATTTTCTCAGTCATATTTTACTCCTTTCAAAACCCCTGATCCAGACTTAGAGGTAGACAGTCGATCATCAGATTTCGGGAGATTTCCATGGTTATCCAAATATGTTCGGGCAAACGCACGAAGGAAATTGAGCTGCGAAATGTCTTTTCTGATTTGCGTATCGGTATATCCGGGCGTTATTTATGGTAACCACGTAAAAATAGGCCAACACAATTTTTTGCCTCCAATACCAGTCCTATAATTGTTAACATGACCGTCCGCGAAGTCTGTATCATCCATGTACTGATTGTATACTGCTATAAGATTGAGTCTCGGTACTTTTATCTTCTGTTGGTTTGCCTTAGAATACCGATCTGCCAATCTGTAGTAACTCCAGTTACTTTGGGATCTGTAGAAGCAACAGTTACAACAAAATTTCACCCATCGGACTATAGCGATATTACCTTCAGAGGCATATTCCTATGACCCTCTCGCTCTTTTTTCACCACTACAACCCTTTGAGTATTAAACCAAAGGAGACGGCATCGCAAGGCATACCCCTCTGTAAACGGTACGAGAGTCCGACTCGTAGCCGTTATGTAAAACTAGTTGCTCCGCGTCGTGCGCCATTACGCAAGCGATTGTGCCAGTCAATTTAGTTCCGACAAAATGCCGAATTGCAGTGTATTTTCATGCAATAAAACAATCAAAACCGTCAAATCTACAAAAATGACAGCGTGACTTTTCATCTGTGAATACTTTTAACATAATATTATCTTTAAAACTCGTATTTTCTGAATATTTTTGTAAAATACCAAGTGTCGCCAGCATAGTTCAGGAAGTGAATAATAAACGAATTTAAAATAAATATAATTTACTACACAAAATAAATATATTAAAGAAAATTTATTTCATATAACTGAATCAGTTTGTGGTACAGCAACGTAGTGATCTACGCCTAAAAAACGCTTAGCTATCGATAAGTTAATTAACCTATTGGGGTTTATCTGCCGAACAGATTTTTATTTTTTGGTTAGATTTATAAAGTATTTCAAAAAGTAGTAAATTTTTCTATTATTGGTTTAATAATAATAATAAATAAATATAGTTTATTCAGGAAATTATCATACATACATTATAACTGGGAATGAGGTCCTTTTAATTATAGAAACTTGTGTTGGGAAACCTTACATTACTATTTGCATGATCTTTACATAATAAGTAACTATAAAATTAAAATAAATAAATAACAATATTCTCGCTAAAGGTACGCGAGTGTGTATATGTGTGTGTGTGTGTGTGTGTGTGTGTGTGTGTGTGTGTGTCCATATAGTGACAGCTGTAGTCACTACGTTTTTTATTCTTTTGGCTACGATACAACGGTTAAACTTTATACCTTTATGTAGTCTTAGAACTGAATATAAGATGTACAGTTTCTTAACATTAAGTACATTACCTATAGCATAAAAATCTTCTGTAGGGAGGGAATCTTTTTGGTTTAAAATGCATAATTTTTAGTAAATTTCTCTGTGCACTTTCAACTTCTAAAAATTTGGTTTTTGTAGCTCCATCCCACACAGTAGTACAATATACTAAGATAGATTGAGCAAAAGCAATATATATTTGGTATAGTAACTTTTTCGTCTTAGTGTTTGAAATGTCCATGTAAGTTTCCTAAGTCTATTCATGATTTATTCAATGTGTCTATGCCAGACTAATGCTGGTCGACGTTGACTCCTAAATACTTGGTTTCAGAGACCTTACTATTTAATGAACAGCTGCAACTAGGGACAACTAACTTAAGGGATCATAGCATGTGTAAAGTTTAATTTCGAAATGAATATTAATCTGAGTTCGTATATAATTAGTAAAAGATATATAACTAGTTTTCAAAGTATTTAAAGTAAGTAGGTTAGTGGAGTAGTAGTGGCTGAACCACTTAGCAGTCACAGCAAGGCCTTTTCAGCAGATCTACGAACAGAATCCTAGGAGTCATCAGTAAATATTACTGCAGTATCATCTGCATAGGAGATTTTGATAAATCATATTTCATACCCAAGTTATCGATAAAGGAAGGTTAGGCGATACTGTACCAGCCGTAAACTTATTGGAAGGAATGTTTAGCTGTAATTACATGATTAGATTAAATAGTTTTATTATTACTCTTGACAACAATATTATTCTGCTTGAAAATATTTTATAATTTCGACAAGTTTACAATTATGACTTCTTACATTTACGCGAACACTACACATTAAACGAAACTAATTTTACAGATTTTATCGCGTTAAATTTTGACTTTTGATTCCCGACGTTTCGGGTGCTTTACAGTACGAATTTTAATGTCGCACCTTTGACAAAATGCGGTACGTGCTGAGGCAGTGCGGCAAAAAACGACCGTATCTAAGCGAACAGACTGTACACCAAGGAAAATTAAAATAAAAAAAAAAACGTTTTTATTGTACCTTGGTCATGGATGAAATGAAAATTAAGCAGTTGACGAAATACCATGCTAGCAGCCAAAGGCATTATGGCTAAGTCTACTACAGGTTTGGTATTATATCCGATTATTTCGATGAAGCCACTGACGCATTAGTGCTTTTATTGCTCGATATATAAACACAACATGAAAAGCACCCATAGCCAACTTTTTTGATTAAATTTGAATTAAAATCTGAGTTTGATCAAGCTTTCAAAAAACTGGTCATAATTATATTTACTAATAAAATCATAATTTTATATAACACTAAAAACCTTTCACCGCTGGCCGAATTACGAAGCTCAAAGTCACTCAGCGAGCTACGGAGACGGCTGTGCTCGGGGATTTTCCGCATGGTAAACATAAAAATAGGGATATTCACAGTAGAACCAGAGCACCCGACATAGCCCAACGGATTAGTAAGCTGAAGTGGCAATGGGCCGGCCATATAGTTCGAAGAATCGACAACCAATGGGGGAAAAAGGTTCTCGAGTGGCAGCCTCGTACTGGT